CTATATCTCAAAATCTAAGTGTGTGTTCCAATCATTTTGTGTTCATTTCTAAAACATTTGAGGCTTTTCCTGTATTTAAATTTTCCCATAGTATTATTAAGAAAAAATTCAAGATTCAAAAAGAATTTTGACAAGCATTTATTCAAATACTTTTGTTATTTTTATTCTAAGATTTCAGGATATTGGCTGGGAAGAAATGTTTTGGTTACATGGATTGCTTTCATACTGCCTAAGACGAAGTTATGTGTGCCCATCACCCAGATAGCCTACACTGTACCTGTTAGGTGTGATTTCACCCTTGGTATATTAAATACACGATTTTTTATAGTTTTGTTAACGGAATCCTACCCATCGATATAGTCCACCTCTTCTCGTACTTAAGTCTCATTTTATTCCATCTAAAGAAATTTTTATTTTTTCCTAGAACACTGTTTTGCATTCTTTGTCGTGAGGTCGTCTAGATGCTGACAGGCTGTTTGGCCAGTGGTGCTGGCACCGTGTGAGCACAGAGAGACGTCACTGCAGCCACGTCCCCATCCACGTCCCGGTTCCCAGTGGAACACCCCTGCTAAGGCATCAGGGGACACTGGCTGGATCTGCTGAGTGTCCCCATGGTGAGTGACTGAGTGGCATGCTCAGGAGCAGGCTCAGAACAGGCCTGGAGCCCTGAAGCTGCAGTGCCCAGCACGGGTGGAGTCTACAAGATGCTGTATCTTCTGGGCCTGGGATGGGGGGTTTCACCTCACTCTGCCCATTCCCCTGTCTCTGAGAGGAGTTCTGTTCTTGAACAAGAATGTTCTGCCTCAGGGAGGTGAGCAGGCTTAGTGTGGGATTTCGACACTGCCTCAGTCTAAGGTGTCCTGAAGTCAGTGACTCACGAAGGGCCTCAGACCTTCAGCTGCTCCTGTGTGACTGGAAACAGGACGGCGCATGAATAGATCCCAACCCATCAGCCATTAGGGAAATGCGATCAAGTCTAAAGAGATAGACCGCTGCAGACCCACTGGGGTGGCTAGAAACAAAATGACAGGTAATGACAAATGTTGATGGGAATGTGGAGAAATTGGAAGTCTCATATATTATTCATGGAAATGTAAACTGGTGCAACCCCTTTGGACAGCAGTCAGACATTTCCTCAAAAACAGTAATTGTATCACCCTGAATTTCCACTCCTACCAATCTACCCAATGAAAATACATATAAGTCCACAGGGAAATTTGAAACTTGTGTACCGATGTTTATAGCAGCGTTACTCATAAAACCAACAGTCTTAAGCAAACTAAATGTCCAACAACTCGTGAACAGTTTAACAACCTGTAGGACATACATGCCATGGAATATTTTTTGGCAATAAAAATGAATGAAGTACTAAATTACATCTCTATATATTTCATGTATGAGAATTAGCCTAATAAACATTTTCATGCATTCATGTCCTAAGTTATGTAGAAAACAGAAATTGGATTTACAAGTCAAAGTTCTAGTAATAGTAGCTATTAGACTAATAATTGTTAATTTGTAGGGTGATGAAAATATTCTAAATTCATGTTACGGTGATGGTTGCACAACTCGATAAATACTAAAGAAAATTTGAAGTGTATATTTTAAATGGATGCAATTGATGATATACACATCATAATGTATCTTAATGTAGATGTTTAAAAAACCAACATGAAAGAGGGCAAGGTCACTGGTTTGGAAGGTCACTGGCCATTTAAAGCAGGTTTGTGCTCTGAGAGGTAGATCTTCTCATGTGAATGCCCTGGGGTTGTCCACAGTCAGTCTTTTGCCTGGCGTTTGTCACAGGCAGTCATGACGGTGATCACAAGAAAGCAAGGGCAGGTTTTTGCCTCAGTTCCCCCTGTGTCTTGAGCACTGTGTGACCACTCAGGTTATCGTCCCAGGCTGCACAGTAATAATCAGCCTCGTCCTCAGCCTGGAGCCCCGTGATGGTCAGGGAGGCCGAGCTGCCAGACTTGGAGCCAGAGAATCGGTCAGGGACCCCCGAGGGTCTATCACTATCATAATAGATGAGGAGTTTGGGGGCTGATCCTGGGAGCTTCTGGTACCAGCTCGCATAATTATCCCCGATGTTGCTGCTGCTGCCCGTGTAGGAGATGGTGACCCTCTGCCCCGGGGCTCCAGACACCAAGGGCGGCTGAGTCAGCGCAGACTGGGCCCAGGATCCTGGAAGGGGAAGACACAGACATGGTGATTCTAAATCTGGAAACAAGAGGATAGAGCAGGCCCCCATGGTCCTCCCAAGACCCTTCCCCTGGCCCAAGTCAGGTCACCTGTGCAGTGAGCCAGGAGGGTGAGGAGGAGAGGGGCCCAGGCCATGGTGGAGACTGTCCCCAGTGCTGCCTTCTGTGCCGGCAGCTGAAGCAGCTTCCCCAGGTCTCTCCTTCCCCTCTTTATACCCTGAGAGGGGAGGCTCCCTCCATTCAAATGACCCCAGCTTTCTGCCCCCACCCTGGGCCCTGGTCAGGCCCCTCTGCCTGAGGGTGTCAGGGGTGGGCAGGTGCGTGGCTGTGTGGTCCCAGGGGGTGGGGAGGTCACAGCTGTGCCCTGAGCAGAGGGCACCAGGCAGGGCAGGTGGCTGTTTCCAGCTCTGATCAGCCCACACCTCTCAGGAGCAGGCCCCGAGCGCCCCCTGGTGTCCAGGCCCAGACACACCATCCTGTGACATGGTGACCAGAGTGTCCTAGAGCCAACCCTGTCTCCCCACTGCTCTGTATACTGCCAAAGTCTCATGTGACACTGATTTGTGAGAGCCATTAGGAATGACCTTTCAAAATATAAGACTAGGAGAAAATAGGTTTTATACCAAGTGATGAGTTCTGTCAATCTTTTAAAAAATGACAACATTTTAAGAATTTCTCACCAAAAACAATATGCAGTATATATTATTTTGTCATAAAAAGAACAAAGCTTAACAGAGAAGATAATTACAATTATTAAAGCCACAAAAAAGAAACAAAAGTTTGTGTCTGACTAGAAAACTTGTGCAAGTATAGTGTATGCACCAGCCTCGTGTTTGCGAGTGTGCGTGGGTGTGTGGAGTTGCTGGGGACCACCAGGACCGTCAGCTTCGCATCTGTACCAGTGAGTGTGCCACAATGTGGTTCTAGTACTGTGAGATTTTAAATGCCCCAAGTTTTATACTGTAAGAACCGGTTCCCCTCGGCCCCAGGAACAGAGAGGCAGAGTAACCAAGGCTGCAAATGGCAAAGGAGTTTATTGGCTAGCTTGAGCTAGGGTCCAAGTCCCAGAGCACCAACGCAGTGGCCTCCCTGTGAACCAGGACCCCACCCCGGGGTAAAAGTGAAGCTTTTATACTTTCTGTTGCGCACGACACACCGGTGGCATACGGCACGCTGAGCCCACCATCCCCCTTCCCCCTTTGTCCATTGGTTCCTTTGAAAGTGGAGGATTGTTTTGACCACTGATTGGGTGGTCCCAAGCCTCGGGATTTTCAATTTTCACGCTGGTGCCAGTTCTGATCTGCGTTTCAGGAGGGGGACTGAAACTTAGGCCTACTCTAGGAAGTTCAGCCTGTCATGGAGTTACTCCTGCCCTGTTTTATTTCCCTGATTAACTATATTTGACTAACAACTTAAAGCCAGCACGGTTACAGAAGCAAATGGCATTAGTTAGAATCAAAGAGAACACATTTTTCTAATCTAAAACAGTTTCTGTTCCACACAAAACAAAGTACATTTTTCTACTATCAATTCCTGCCTTTCAATACCTCTCAAAAAAATAAAGTATTTAATATATAGTCACCTAAATAACATAGGTCTATAAGTTTGTGTGAAAAAAAGACTACAATACATTTTAATTTTGCTTTTTTAACCATAACCTGTTTTAATCGTTATTTTAAATTATGTTTGATTTTTACTTTGCCATGTTTAAATTTTTCTGTTATCACCATGTGGACACTAATCTGAGCGACTGTGCCGTGGTCTGTGCTGTCTCAGTGCTGTCTCCTCTCTGATGGTGCCGTGACCGTCCCAGTGAATTGTGTTTCCCTCTTTCTCCCCCTGAATGAGCAGGGACTCACCCAGGCTGAGCAGTGTCTCCTGTAGAGAGGACAGGGCAACCCATATCCCCTCCCTGCCCCTGAACATTCTCCTCGGGGCTGTCTGCAAGCACTCAGGCTGAGGACAAAGAGAGAAGCAGGGCCACAGCTGAGTCCCCAGGTCCCCCTACTGTGTCTCAGCGCAGTGTGGGCAAGGTGCTGAGAGACGGGGCTGCATTTGGTAAACAGATATTGGGCACCTCCCTTGTGTTGGGCGCTTTTCAGCAGTGGGTGTGTCACTGTGCCGTGAACAGCCTTGTCCCCACCTCAAGGAGCTGCCCCTGATGGAGTGACCAGGTGTGATGCTCACGGGGGCCTCCCTTGCAGAGCGAGGCGCCTCCTCAGGGCAGTTCTATGTCATTCCAGTCTTTAGTCTTCTATTGGGGCTGCCTGAGTGGCAACAGGACAGAGATCACTTACTTGTAACATGCCTTCAGGGGAAGTGGTGTCTCACCTGTAACTGGTACATGGAACAAAATGTGCACCAGGTGAGAACAGGGACAGTTCAGCCACGAGCCCACTTTCCAGGCTGCTCATGAAGCAGGTTTCTCTCTCCCTACTCGACTGTGCACAGTGTGAGCACCTGGGTGAAGAGTGGTGAGCACTGGGGAGGACACATGAACCCGCTTTGCGATTCACAGGATTCTCTGTTAAAAGAGGCAAAAGAAAGCAAGAAAGTAAAAAAAAAAAAAAAAGCGTCAGAGAATCAGCCCACTGGGGCTCCTCGTGCAGTCACAGAGTAGAGATGTTCAAGACAGACATGGACGTTCACGTGGAAACTCCCTAGATCTGCACGTCCACGTTTGCTCTGATACAAGATCTTAGTGATTGACTGAGACGGTCACGGGGAAGGGACGGTAACACAGGGAGAAGAAACATGAAAACTTAGATGGGAATTGACGAACCAGCGACGGGGAAGACAGAGAGTGAGGACGGTCCACACTGTGGAAGGGATCAGAGGAGAAGCCAGTGGGGACATTGGGCAGGAGGCAGAGGGGCAGTAACGTCAGGGTGAGGTTTGGGGTGTCTGCTTTCATTTCTGCTGTGCTTCTTAAAGGAAAAGGGTCATCCCCCAGTGCTTAGCTCTCCTCCTTTGCCATCCTGCTGCCTGCACTGGGGGTGTTATTCAATCAAGAGGTTTTTAGCTCCCTGTGTGAGAGATTTCTCTTTGATTTCTACATAGTAAAGCCTTCTCTTCTTACTTTCCACAGTTCTTAGAGGTGTGGCGATATTAAAACCTGTATGTGAACATTGGCGGGAGGAAACTTTTAGAAATGCAGACTCTCAGCCCCACTCCTGACCCACTGAATCCACTGAAGCAGAACCCACATGGCCCAGGATGCAGACGACCCACGTGCGTGTCAAGTCTGAGAAACCCTGACACAGGCACAGAGGCTCTGGTGGGTTTTGGTGACGGGTTGTTCCCCACGTCTCAGTCTATTCTGCCCCCTACCCGTGTGCCCAGCAAACTCACTTACTGTGTCCTCTTTTGGGGCTTCATACACCAGGCACAAAACACTCGGGGTTTTCCACTGAAAATGAAGGCATCTCTCCCTGGACTTCATAAATTTCACAAAAATAAGAAGAAGTGTTTTCACATCTTGATACAAGTAAATAAGAAAAATTATGTAAAACATAAGATTTTGCATTAGTATTTATGATCTTATTCATATTAAGCAATATATTTATGCACTGTAAGTTAGGGATCTTTTGTGTAGTAAACTTCAAATATAATCACAGTCTAAAAATTTAGAAATCTGGGCAAAATATGATTATATTTGTTGATGCATTGAAAGCCAAGATGAAAGGCTGTTATATTAATCGCTGTGTTAGTTTACTAGGGCTGTAATCACCATGCACCACACACCAGGTCATTTAAAACAAGAAAAGTGTATGATCTTACAGTTTTGGACACTAGTCTTCCAAAATCCACAGGGCCAGGACATGCTCCCTCTAATAGCTATAGATAAATTATTCCTTTCCTTTTCTTGGCTATTGGTTGCTTGCTGGCAATCTTTGGTGTCCCTTGCTTTGCAGCTGAATAACTTCAATCCATGCCCACTTCTTCACATAAATGGCTCCCTGTGTCCATCTGTCTTCTCATGGTCATCTTCTCACAAGGACACCAGACATGTTTGATTCAGAAGCTATGCTACTCTAGAATAACCTCATCTTAATTATTACATCAGCAATGATCCTGTTTTCACATAATGTTACAACACACACAAACAGAATGGCAGTGGTAAGTTTGTTAGCCAGCAATGATAACATTGAATGTAAATGGACTAAATTATTCAATCAAAAAAACATAGAGTGGCTGAATGGAGAAACGATCAAGACTCAATTTTATGGTCCCTACAAGAAACTCAATTCACCTACAAAGATACAAATAGATTGAAATATAGAGATGTAAAGAGATATTCCATACACAAGGAAACAACAACACAAAAAGGAAGACTAGCTATATTTCTATCAGATAAATTAGGTTTCAAAACAAAAATTATAAAAAGAGACAAAAAAGTCATTATATAACATTAAATATCTCCACTGAGGAAGATGTAAATTATATATATCAATTTACCCAACATTGGGGCACCCAGATATGTAATGCAAATATTATCAGAGCTAAAGAGAGAGATAGACCCCAATACAATCTTATAATCTCTAGGGATTTCAACACTCCACTTTCAGTCCCAGAAAGATCACCTAGACAGAAAATGAACAAAGAAATATCAAAATTAATCTGTATTATAGACCAAATGGATATAGTAGAACCTTACCAAAACTTTTATCCAACAAGTACAGAGTATACTTTCTTCTCCTCAGCATAGGAAACACTCTCAAAGATAGACCAAATGTTAGGACAAAAAACAAATCTCATTCAGAAAAATCAAATCATATCAAGTATCTTTTCTGATCACAATGGAATGAAGCTAAAAATCGATAACAAGAGGAACTTTGAAACTATACAAACACATGGAATTTAAACAGAATGCTAATGAAAAAGCATTGGGTCAACAGAGAAGTAAATGAGGAAATTTTAAAAAAAGAATGAAACAGATGAATATGGAAACACAACAAAGCAAACCTATGGGAGAACACAAAAGCGATATTAAGAGGAACATTTATAGCAATATATAATCATATCAAAATAGTTTTTGAAAAACTTCGAATAAACAAGCTAATGATGCATCTTAAAGAATTAGAAAAGCAATAGAAAATCAAACACAAAGTTAGTAGAAGAAAAGTAATAATAAAGATCATAGCAGAAATAAATGAAATGGAGAATAAACCAAAACAA